CCCCAAAACCCCAAAACCCCAAAACCCCAGTGGCTATTTAAACAACTGAACTCAGACTTAAACTTTAAGATTGACTTGCCACCAATATGGACTCAAGAGCCATTAAGCAAGAGCAAAGCCAAGCAATGGCGAAGCGAGGGAGAGAAGAAGGAAGGAACCAAACACAGGTTCTGGAGGGTTGTGAAGGACAAGGCCAAAGAGTTTGAAATGACAGTGCTAGCTGGAGGGTTCCAAAGTGTCTTGAAGCCCTTTGCTAGAACTTTTAAGGGCTTTGAGTATGAGGTTAAAGAGGCTTTCGAACATAAGGATACTGAGAAATGTAAAGCAATTCTTGAACAAGTCAGGATGATCAACAAAAGCATTATATGAGAGAACTTTAAAAAGAACATTACAGCTAACCAGATTTCCAAAGATGATAGTTTGGTGTTTCAAGCTTTTGTACGATAGCGCTCTGATAAATATATCGTACAATAAAGTTAAAGAAGAACAGGAAGAAGGCACCAGTGAAATCTCCAGTCCCACTTCCATTATTCCGAAAACTGCTTTAGAGAAACGTAGGCAGATCCAAAATGACATATAAGAAGAAATGGTTGAGAAATATAGCAAAACTTTAAAGGAAAGGAACAAAAGTTCCAGGAACAAATCAGCAAACTTTATTAAGATAGATGTTTAACCTATTATACACAATTCTATGAGGGGCTCCCAAGCTAATTTATCCGCACTTTGTCCATTAATTTTGGAAGATTTAGTCCCAATTTCGATCCCCAAAATTCTTATTTCTTTATTTGGTAAATCCAAGGTTGGATTTAGGTTGAAAGAAGAAACTGGGTTCTACATGAATATCTTACAGAAATACAAGCACTGTGTATCAGAGAATTAGAGTGAAATTACTGGTAGACATATTAATAGTTAGTTTATAATGTTTAAATTGCTTCTCTGATTAGGAAGGAAAGCTAATAGTTACTTGCATTATCAGGCTTAATTAAAGAATACTCTTTGCTTTTCATTTTAGTCTCCTTAAAGTAGTCATGATTATGATGAAAATTATGCTTCAGCTGTTGCTTTTTCTTATAATCTTTTTCCCATTTCTCTGCCTTTTCCTTACTTTCTTCTTTATTAAACCTCCTTCTGAACGTGTTCTGTCTGATCTTCTCGATCGGCATGATCATGTTCATTTTATTTACAAAATTGTTGTTCTTGACATTCATCTTTTGTTGTAAGGAGGGGTATAGTTGATTTTCAAAAGTTTAAAGCAAATAGAAAATTGTAATACATTAGTTGGAGTGTTAAATAGTTACCTTCTCTTTTCCCTCTCTGAAACGAGGCAGGTTTAGGCTCCCATCGTTTCTCCTGTGGCTCACTGGGGATAGCCTACTCCCGAGGAGAACATCATTTAGTTTCTGCTTTCCTCTGGGTATACTTGAGGATTTAATACTTCCTGGAGAGAAAGGACCCATCAAAATCTTGTCAGCTATTAGTTCTTTATTTCAGCATAAAGTTCTTTGGTGCTTTCTTAATGGTACTGGAGTTTATAGAGAGGCTCAAGTTGTTGTATTTCTATATAAAAGTTAATTACCCTCGATGCAGAATTTTAAGTGGGATTATTTATCATGCAGATCATCCAAAAGCAGGTCTATGACTTGGCCAGGGTCTTAATATAGTCCAAGCTGATGAGCTCCTATTAGGAGCTATCTGATTCATACTGCAACCTACTTTATCCATATTGATATTCTAATTTAAAGTATTATTAATTATTTCCTATAAGCTTTAAGAAATTAGGGGTTTTGGGGTTTTGGGGTTTTGGGGTTTTGGGGTTTTGGGG